GGATGGATTTCATCAGGTCCCATGGATTTGTACATGTTCGGGTTCTTAAGGTGGTCTCAAACCTGATCCTCTCCTACAGTGGGCCTAAGGTCTTCATTCTCACAGTCCCTGCGTTTGCCTTCCAAGACTTGGTTGGTGTGGTCTGAGCATTTGCTAGTGAAGACAGAGGCAAAGAAGTCATTAAGAACCTCAGCCTACTCCAGATCCAGGCTAGCCAGTTCTCCCAACAGCTTCCGGAGAGGGCCCATGTTGTCCCTAGTCTGTCTTTTATTTGCTACGTACCTATAGAAGCCTTTCCTGTTATTTTTGACGTCCCTTGCCAGATTTAATTCTAACTGGGCCTTAGCTTTCCTGACCTGGTCCCTGGCTTCCCGGACAACGTTCCTGTAATCTTCCCAGGTTGCCTGTCCTCGCTTCCCCCTTCTGTAAGCTTCTTTTTTCCCCTTTCAGTTTCCTCAGCAGTTCCTTATCCATCCATGGAGGTCTCCTGGCCCTCCTGACGCACTTCCTTTTAGTCGGGATGCAACAGTCCTTTGCCTGTAGCAGGTGATCCTTGAATATCAACCAGCAGTCTTGGGCTGCCCTGCCCTCTAGGACTATATCCCATGGAACCTTACTAAGCAGGCTCCTGAAGAGGCCAAAGTCTACTCTCCTGAAGTCCAGCGCAGCGAGCTTGCTGCATGCTTTTCTTACTGTCCTGACCATCTCATGGTCGCTACAGCCAAGGCTGCCCTGGAGGGAGGATAGAATTCACCTACAGTTTAAGATATCTCTATTTAGGTGTCTCTCTGCTGTCTGCTCTCCCATTACAGTCAGCTCAACCAAGGCAGCCTGTGGTGAATTTGAGCCCATTCTGAAATTGGTTGGATTTGTTTGTTACGGATGTTGATGCAACTTCACTCTGTTTTCACTCATTCTTTGCGTTCAGTAGGAAATCTGAGGTACTTAAAGATGATTGGATTTCATTTGCCAGTGGCGTAGAGGGGTTTTTAGAACTCATGTCTCAGATACTAGATTTTCTTTTGTTTGCATTTCCTGCCTGGTTTTATACTGTGGAGCAGGCATAAATACAAAATTAAATAGGTTATTGTCCTTTTTTATGGTTCACATTTAAGACAAATGTTTTTTGACAGCTGGATCTCTTCCCTCTGCAGGAATTTGGAGAACATCCAAATATAATCAAGCTGCTGGATGTTATCCGAGCTCAGAATGACAAGGACATCTACCTCATCTTTGAGTCCATGGGTGAGACTTAGCATTGTATCACCCATTTAAATACAGCCTCTCCTATGAGTTCTCTTTGTTCCCTACTTTGATAGCTTGTTGATGATTTACATGAATATTCATGTAAGTAGGAGCAGTATGTTTTTCAAAACAAGTATCAGTTGTGAATGGATTTGAATAACAGTGAGACTTTAAAAGGCGTAATAATTGCATGGGAACTGTCTGGTTGAGATGAAGGAAAGACAGCAGTGAGCAACAAATTAGAAGGCTTGTAGAGACAGGAGAGTTGCATATGGAAGAGATTGTGCAATTTTATTGTAACAAAAGGTGCAATAATAGAACAGTTACTGTAGCATCAGTCACAAGTCAGACTGGTAGTACAGAAAGACTGCAGTATGATTAGTAATTACAGTGTTAACTTCTGTTGAGGATGCACTTTGAAAGATGACAGTTTGGACGATGGTCTATTCTGGCCTTGCTTTGAGGAACTTGCATTCCTTTACTGATGTAAATATATTACTGATGTAATATATTACAGAGACAGATTTACATGCTGTGATTAAGAAGGGGAATTTGCTGAAAGATATCCACAAGTGTTACGTTCTCTACCAACTCTTGAAGGCAACTAAATTCATCCACTCAGGAAATGTTATTCACAGAGATCAGAAGGTATATTTCAGTCACAGTATTTATCCTTCACTCAAGTTTTCTGTTAAACACTAAATGGAAAAAATATTAAAAGAATGAGACTAATAAAAGAACCTTGATAATATTCTGCCATACAGAGAGTAAAAAGCTTATTAATTTTCCTTTGTTCAACTCAGCCTTCAAATATCTTGCTGGACGCAGACTGCTTTGTCAAACTTTGTGACTTTGGGCTGGCCCGTTCTTTATGTCAGATGAATGAGGACCAAGTCAACCCTACTCTAACAGAGTATGTGGCGACACGCTGGTACCGAGCCCCTGAGATCTTACTTTCCTCTCGGAGGTAACTGTTTAATATTGAGTGAAGGGATGGCATTCTGTAGTTTCTTCCCACTGAGAAAACCTACTGCCTAAAAGCTGAAATATTTTCATTTTGGATGTCACCAGATGCATTGTCATGTCAGCAGCTCACTTTCTCAATATGTATTTGAACTGCAGTTCTGCAACATCTCTCATTATGTGTGCATTTCCCTCCTGGCTTCTTAGATTGCCTACTTACATACACTATCAGCTCATCTGTTTGTCATCCTTTTCACTAGTAGACTTATTCTTCATCCTTTTAAATCTGCATCTTTGCAGAATTTGATTGAGTACCTTTGTTCTCTTTTCCAAATTTATGGAGAATTTTTCGATAGACCTTCAAAAACTATCCTGTAATCAAATGTTAAATCAGCAGCTAGTCAGGCCTAGTCCTTTTTTTGACTTAAACATACAACATCTTATTGATCAGAAAAAGAAACCCTACAGGCTGGCTCAGTATCCCAAATATGAAATGTGGATGTTTTGCAAACTGTCATTTACCCATTTTTTGGCATTTACTTTGCTTAATAATTGTAACTACTTTCTAAATATGTTATGTCCTGAAAAGTCAGTTGTTTCCAAGCAGCAACTTGTATCTTCACTGTTGATGATATGAAAAGTGTATATTACCTTGTCCTGGCATTTACTTTTAATATATTTCCATTTATGGTTTCCTAGAATGAACTTTCAGTAGCTCCTTTTTTGCTTGCCAGTTTCATGATTCTCAGATCTCATTCACTTTATAGTTAAAAGCTGTGAGCATTCATATTCAGGGAGTCATCAAGCTTGTTTTTCTAGCAAAATAAACTAATGTAGATGATGTGAATACCAGGTACAGAAAAACAGTTGCTTGACTTTGTCCTAATTCTGTTCTGTTCTTATTTGTAGTTACACCAAAGGTGTAGACATGTGGAGCATTGGCTGTATTCTGGGAGAGCTGCTACTTGGGAAACCTCTTTTTCCTGGAACTTCAACAGTGAATCAAATAGAGCAGATCTTGAGAGTTATTCCTGCCCCATCCCCGGAAGGTAGGGCTCTTCTGTGGGGAAAAGTGTTTAGAGGTTAAAAGAGTGAAGTAAAGCAGCCCAGCTGGATCACAGAAGAAAGTATCTTTTCTGAGACATTCTAACATCTTTCCAAGGAAAATAAAGACTTAATTATGAAACCGATACTTGATTGGGTGAGAACAAGAACCAGGCCTTCAAAGCAGTTTTGAGATCTCTAATTGGATAACAGTATAAAACAGAATGTCATACTTCAGGGAGACTTGTATAATAAAGAGAAATTGGACTTTTTGATCTGGAAATGTAAACACCGAAGTGAAAGCTGGAAGAAATATATGTTAAATCTAAAAGGGATTATTATTATGATGTTTTCTATGAGTTCCAGTCTAACAGCCCATACGCTTTATGAACTTTTGCACATGTTGATATGTTCTAACTGAGCTAGCAAATAGTTTTTTTAGAAAAATAACTACCTTCAGTTTAGAGACATGACAGTGTTGAAGAGTTCCATTCAAGCTTGAAATTATTTATAGTTTTTATTAAGAAATTTGGTTGCTGGGGATGAAATATGAATGGAAATGTGTGTGAAAACCACAAGGTCTGCACTCTAAGACAAGACCAGAGGACAACGGCCTCTTTAGCAGAAGGTCCTGTGTCATTACCACACGACAATGGCTGCAAGGTTGCAGCATGTCAGAGGTACAATTTCTTCTTCTTTTAGTCAAAAAGTGAAAAGAGACAGTTGTTCAAAACATTATTTCAAACAAGGAAACACAATCTACTAGCAGCAACTTTGCCTAGAGTTTTATGGGGACCAAAGGAGCAAGATTCTGAAGCAAAAAGCATTCTATAGCAACTGTTGACCAGTTGTTGGACATTAAGCCATTGAACACAACTCTGCCACCAGCCAATTCTTTATCCACCAGATGATACATCCATCAAATTTATGTCTCTCCAGTTCAGAGACAAGGATGTCGTGCAGGACAGTGTTAAATGTTTTGCACAAGTCAGGTAGACAATGTCAGCTGCTCTGCCCCTGTCCATCAGTTCTATAGCCCCATCATAAAAGGCCACCAAAACTGGTCAGGCAGGATTTGCCCTTAGTAAAGCCATGTTGACTGTCACCAACCACCTTGTTGTTTTTCATCTGCCTTAGCATGCTTTCCAGGAGAATCTGCTCCATGATCCTGCCAGGCACAGAGTTGAGACTGACTGGTCTGTAGTCTTCCGTATTTCCCTTCTTGAAAATGGGGGTTATATTTTCCTTTTTCCAGTTGTCGGGAACTTCCCCTGCCTGCCATGATTTTTCAAATTTGATGGAGGGTGGCTTAGCAACTTCATCCACCTTCAGGACCCGTGGATGGATTTCATCAGGTCCCATTCATGGCACTGACAGTAATTCTTTTCACTATTGCAGATATTTTGGCCATGCAGTCAGATTACAGAGCCTCAGTTATTAACCACATGAGTTCCCGGTAAGCCTTGTATGTTTGCTGTGTCTCAGAAGTCAGCAATCTGCTGTATGATGTTGACAGAAAATTCCACTGCAGTTCTGCAGTTCACCTGCAACTGTTCCACAGTGGCAATGGTTTCTGTTTTCTGCGGATTAAAAAAAAAAAAAGACCAATGACATAATCTGGGAATAACAAACAAAAATGAGGTCGGACCCATGGGCTGACATTCCAAGCTATTGTCATGTGTACTTTCTGGAAATTGGAATATTTTCCTATCCTGAGTCATTGTGATTAATTTTCTTTTCCTGATGTCTGTCGTGGTTCTTTTGGAGCATCCAATTATGTACCCAGACAAACACAACAGTATGTATTTATTACATACCTCATTAGTAAACATTAGTAAACTTGATGCGCTTACACTATCTTATGGCCATAGCAAATTACTCTCTGGTGTCTAAGTATGCTCTACTCATGTATGTCCTGAGTATCCTGGTGGGCATCCCTTCTCATTGAGAAGTCTGCAACATGCATAGCCCGGCTATGTGTGGTATGAGTCCTCTGAATACTATGTTTTTATAGGTCTAGGTTAGGATGGCTCAAACCATAAGCTCTAGCAGGTCTTGTTCACATGAGCAGCATGTGGGTTTTCATGCTGACTTCTGTTTTTAAGGTCCCTTCCAACTATAATTCCCGCTTGCCCAGCCTCTTGGCAAATCCTTCTGTTGTAGGGCTGCTGCATGTCGAAACGCAGAGAAGGGAAGTGAGCAAGCAGCTTAGCTGCTAGCCAGGGTTAACCCCACAGCACCTCTGAGAAGAACATTCTCATTTCTATAACCCTTCTCTGAGTAGTGAAAGACAGCAATTGGAGTTCTCCATTAACTCCTGCCTGAAATGCACTTGTATTTGACAGCCCTTCTCTTTGGATGTTATCTTCTCCCCCCACCCCCCCCAAAAAAAAATGAAAGTTCAGTGGCTGAGTTCTGATAGATGGCTCCAGATAGGTAAAAGGCAAGTGAAATCTTAGCCTTCAAAACAAAAAAGTTTTTTTTCTTAGCTACTTAGTCCAAATGCTATGTTCAGTGATGGATCATTTTTCTAAACTAAAAGAATGTTGTCATGGTGTAACAAAGTTATTTAAAATATGAACAAGAATTGTGTTTTCAAACTGCTTTTTCAAATGTACTATATATATAGTCATATTCATGATGTTAATAATTATATTTAGGATTTCTAAGTAAGTGAAAAACCAGGCTTTTAAACTTCATCTTCTCATTGCAAATGCTACAGAAATACATTTCTGTGGTCTAAGGGCTGGATTCGTGGGATCTTTAACAGTTGAACTGAAACATCCAAGTTAGGAATTTGGGCTTCCTGCATTTTCAAAAGAACAGAAGAAGGACTCATTGGCCAGAGAACTTATTATTCCCCTGTGTCTGTAGCTGTCTGATATCTCTCCCTCTTTCCACTGAAACAAGAGAAAGACTAGACTTGCAAGTTAGGCAGTTGATGTAGGTTCCTAGTGCTAGGAGGGAAGCATTCAGAACTAATCAAAGGGGTAAAGACTTCGCTGTATTCACAGGCCTCTACTTCAGAGTGTTCCAGGGTTATGGCACTATTTGTGAGTGAACTCTGGAGTCAGGTGTACCCTTGATGTGATTCCCAGAACTGTTAATTCATGCCTTCACTGTGAATTAGATACTGGAAGCTTATATCATTGTTTTCTGACTTCTAGGCGGCGAGTAACATTTGAGGAGATTTTACCATCCTCTACTCCATTGCCTGCCTTGGATCTTCTGAAGAAACTTTTAGTATTTAACCCTGACAAACGACTCACGGCAGAGGAGGCTTTGCAGCATCCTTATGTGAAAAGGTGAGAGTAATGCCAAAATGAAGTTGCCCTGATTGTCTTCTGAGAAGACATTTGGGTGTTCTTGAGCTCTCCTACATCCTTCCAGTAGCTTGGCTTAGACATTTATGTAGCTTTTGGCTCCTTACATGAAAAGTGTCAAGCTGTTTCAGGGTAGTAGGTTGCATAGTATTGCCTCATGGATATACTCTCGATGCACAGGCAATAAATGACAGCTGGTAATTTGATTTGTTTCTGGCTCCTTCATTATTTGAAATGAGTTAGCCACTTCATTCTGAGTTACGAGGGCAGGTAGTGATAGGACAAGGGGCAATTGCTTTAAAATGGAAGAGGGTAGATTTAGCTTAAACATTAGGAAGAAATTCTTTACTGTGAGGGTGGTGAGACACTGGAACAGGTTGCCCAGAGAAGCTGTGGCTGCCCTGTCCCTGGAAGTGTTCAAGGCCAGGTTGGATGGCACTTTTAGTTACCTGACTGAATGGCAGGTGTCCCTGCCCATGGCAGGGGGGTTGTAACTAGATGATCTTTTTAAGGTCACTTCCAACCCAAACTGTTCTATGACTCTATGATTCAATGTTACAGACCCGCACCTGGCACAAGTTTTCTTTATATGCCTGACTGATAGAAAAATAAAAACCTCATCCAAAGGCAACTGGTCATTTTCTCTAACCCTGGTTACACTAAAGGTCACCCTGGATGATTTAACAATCCTTTTTAACATTATTGATCTGTGGTGCTGGTTTTGCTCTTAGTGAATTACATTATGTGTTGTCATCTTCTCAGGTTTCACTGTCCTGCCAGGGAGCCCTCTCTGGATCATGATGTGGTTCTTCCTTTAGGTGATGATATCCAGCTGTCTGTGGCAGAATACCGGAATAAATTGTATGAGGTACTTTCGCTTACTTAATTTTTCCAGAATCCAAGGTAACTTGCACATGCTTAATGAATGTTGTCATTTTCTTAATTTCATTTCAGGTGTTTAGTAGAAGAAAATTAATAAATTCTATTGTGATAGAGCATTAGGAGTCAGGAGGAGATGAATTAGTAAAGTGAATATGGAACACAGGTAGAAAAGATTTTCTCAATGTCAATAGATTGGTCACACATAATCTAGGTACAAGGCTAAGAAACAAGTGAATAGTTTCAAATTATCTTACTGATAGGGTGTCAAGTTTGGGATGACTGATTACAGGAAGTTGAGAGCAAATTGTCTATACCAAGACACAAAACCTTGTCAAGGATTCTTTTGCTAGATAACAGTGTGTAGAGGTAGATGAGAAATAATTATGCACAAATCGGAATGAATGTTGCTTTGACCATTAAAAAAATGAGCTTTGCAAAGTTCTAGGAAGAGATGATAAGGAACAGCATAATGTTAACTTTCTGAGCATGTAGATTGTCTTCCCCAAAGCTAATGCCCATTTTATTTAGTGGTGTCTTCTCTCAGGATATATTGAAATTGCCTGCTTGCCCAATCCTTTTTCTTAATGCTTCAGCCTATTCTTTCTTTCCACTGAGAATTTTATTTCTATCTTCTTTCCAACCCTAGATTAATTTTAAAATTATACTTGTTACCTATCCTGTGAAAGAAATTGCAGTTTGGTTTTATGTTTTGTTCCTCTGCTGCATAGCTGTGTTAAGTCTAACCAACTTCTCCTTTCTGTAGATGATCCTTGAAAAGAAATCAAATAGCCATCCAAAGGAGCAAGTGCGGAGAGAAAACATACAAATAAGTCAATCTGAATCTAGGCTGCTTCCAAACTCCACTTCCGTGATTTCACCAACCAAGAAAGGCCAGATAGAACCAACACCACCCCTTCTAAAAGCTTTGCATGTGCATGCTGGAACTACAACTGGTATCCAGCCAGAAGTATCCAGCCAGAGTGAAGATTTACCAAGATCTTTATGTCAGAGATCAAAGATCCATGTGATATACAATCCCATAACACACACCGCTGTTCAAAGTAAGTACTACCCTCCTACAGTGGGATGTAATCCATCATGAGGTATTATTATGGGGAAGAAAGAAGAAAAGAGACTGAGTGGGGAAAAGAAATAAGGAGAATTTACATGGCAAAATGAGAGCGTGACAAGAAAAATACATAAAAGCAAAACACAGTTGAATGAGTTTTGAGTTTGTGTCATTCTCTTAGTCTCTTTCCTGCCTCAGTCTTGACTCTGTGTTCCTTTCTGTCTTCTCTTTGCTTTGCTGCTGCTGTTATCTTTTCCCATGCCCTTTTGAACTGGTTTTGTTTGCTACTACAGCCTGATTTTATTCTGAATATTTTGTGAGATGAAGTTAGGTGGCAGGGACTGACTCAGTTTCTATGTTCTGTGTTGTTATAATTTTCCTACTTTGTCTCATGTTTTTTTCTGCTGCAGGTAATGCAAATTCTGGTGCTCTTATCGGGAACTGTTCAGCATCACTTTCTCAACAGGCCAGAATCTCCAACAATAGCAGACTGGGGAGACAAATCACATGGGCAAAAGCAAATGCTGGGTTACCTCCTGCAAGTGTACAGAACATTTGCAATGTGAGTAGCAATCCTACCAAAACACCCAAAAAACAACCTTAAGTTTTTATGGCCCAAAATTACATAGACACAAAATATCTTAATTTGCAAGTTTGTAAAGATAATTAAATGAGAGGCTGCTCTGTAACTAAATTAATATGGTTTTATCAGTTAAAATTATTTATGACAAAGATAAGCATTGCAATTTTGTTGCTTCTATGTATGTCAACCAAATGATACCTGTAACTTACTTTGATAAAGCAGTTGGCCTTGTATAGAGTATGTTCCCTTAAACAGAAAGCTAAGAGTGTGCTAACTCTTGGATTAATTCAGCATGGGCAGATCCTGCTTGACCAACCTGATCTTCTATGACAAGGTGACCCACTTAGTGGATGAGGCAAAGACTGTGCATGTTTTCTTTAGTAGACTTTAGTAAAGCCTTTGACACCTTTTCCCACAGCCTTCTCCTGGAGAAAACTGCTGCTCATGGCTTGAATGGGTGAACTCATTCACTGTTCACTGGGTAAAGAACTGGCTGGATGGCCAAACCCAGAGTATGATGGAGAATGATGGTGAATCCAGTTGGCACCAGCCACAAGTAGTGTTCCCTTCGGCTCAGGACTGGGGCCAGTTCTGGTTAATCTCGTTATCAATGATCTGGATGAGAGTATCGGGGGCACCCTCAGTAAGTTTGCAGACAACATCAAGCTGGGCAGGAGTGTTGATCTGTTGGAGGGCAGGAGGTTCTGCAGAGGGATCTGGACAGGCTGCGTCCATGAACAGAAGGCAGTGGGATGAGATTCAACAAGGCTTAGTGCCGGGTCCTTCAGTTGGGCCACAACAACCCCATGCAGGCTTGGGGAAGAGTGGGTGGGGGGGGGCGGGCGGGGAGGGGAGAGTGACAGAGCTGAACATGTGCCCAGGCAGCCAAGAAGCGAATGGCATCTTGGCCCGTATCAGCACCAGTGTGGCAGCAGGGCCAGGGCAGTGACTGTCCTCCTGTGCTGGGCACTGGTGAGGCTGCACCTTGAACCTTGTGTTCAGTTCTAGGCCTCTCACTACAAGAGAGACATTGAGATGCTGGAGTGGGTCCAGAGAAGGGCAATGGAGCTGGTAAAGGGCCTGGAGCACAAGTGTGATGAGGAGCTCCTGAGGGACGGGGTGGGTTTAGTCTGGAGAAAGGTAGGTCCAGCGAGATGTTATTGTTCTCAACAACTACCTGAAAGGAGATTGTAGCAGGGCAAATGTCGGTCTCTTCTTCTGAATAACAGCTGATAGGACAAGAGGAAAGAGCCTTGAGCTGTGCCAGAGGAGTTTTAGGTTGGAGATTTGGAATAATTTCTTTACCAAAAGGATTATTAAGCACTGGAACAGTCTGCTCAGTGCAATGTGGAGTCACCATCCCTGGAGGTATTTAAAAAATGTATAGATGTGGCACTTACGGACATAGTTTAGTGGTGGTCTTGGCAGTGTAAGGTTAATGATTGGACTTGATGACCTTAAAGGTCTTTTCCAACCTGAACAAGTCTGTAATTTGATGATTCCAACTGAAGAGTTTATGCTAGTAGGGGAAATAACTGGACATAACTTGCCTCTGATATGGATAAGAATCATATAGAATCATAGTCTCATATAGCAGTTTGGGTTGGAAGGGACTGACCAGCCCGTAGTCCCCCAGGTCTTTCTTTTTTCCTTTTTAAAACTGCAGGTTATATTTCCCTTTTCTGTGACTGGGAACTTCAGAGTGCCATGAGTTTGCAAATACGATGTGAAGTGGCTTCGCCACTTCATCTGTCTGTTCCCTAAGGACCCGCAGATGCACCTCATCAGGTCCCATGGACTTGTGCACCTTCGGGTTCCTTAGATAGTCTCGAACATGCTCTTCTCCTACAGTAAGTGGCTTTCCATTCTCCCAGCCTCTGCCTTTGCCTTCTGTGACTTGTCGGTGTGGCTGGAGCACTTACCAGTGAAGACTGAGGCAAAAAGAAAAGGCCTTCTCCATATCTCTGGTAACCAGGTGTCGTGGTTTAAGCCCAGCCGGCAACTTGGAACCACGCAGCCGCTCGCTCACTCCCCCCCTTTTCCTTCCTCCCCCCGCTCCCGGAGGGATGGGGAGGAGAATCGAAGGAATGTAACTCCCACGGGTTGAGATAACAGCTCTCCAGTAACTAAGGAATAATACAAACCACTACTGCTACCAGTAATAATGATAAGAGGAATAACAAGGGAAAAGGACACAACCGCTCCCCACCCGCCGACCGATACCCAGCCCGACCCGAGCAGCGATCTGGGCCTTCCGGGTAACTCCCCCCAGTTTATATACTGGGCATGACGTGCTGTGGTATGGAATACCCCTTTGGCCAGTTTGGGTCAGGTGTCCTGCCTCTGCTTCCTCCTGGCTTCCCCTCCTCTCTGGCAAAGCATGAGACTGAGAAAGTCCTTGGTCAGAGTAAACATTACTTAGCAACAACTAAAAACATCGGTGTTATCAGCGTTGTTCCCAGACTGAAAGTCAAAAACACAGCACTGCACCAGCTACTAAGAAGGAGAAAAAATGACTGCTGTAGCTGAACCCAGGACACCAGGTCTCCTGTTTCCTTCCAGAGAAGGCTCATGTTTTCCCTAGTCTTCCTTTTATCATCAGTGTACCTATAGAATCTTTTCTTGTTGCCCTTGATGTCCTTGTCCAGATTTAATTTTATCAGGACTGTAGCTTTTCTAACCTGATCCATGGCTGCTTGAACAATTTCTTTGTATTTGTCGTGGTTTAAGCCCAGCCGGCAACTTGGAACCACACAGCCGCTCGCTCACTCCCCCACCTTTTCCCTCCTCCCCCCCCTC